TCTCTCTCTCTCTCTCTCTCTCTCTCTCTCTCTCTCTCTCTCTCTCTCTCTCTCTCTCTCTCTCTCTCTCTCTCTCTCTCTCTCTCTCTCTCTCTCTCTCTCTCATATTCAGCTCAGCTCCAACAATGAACTGTTACAATTATACACTTATTTTCACATAGCTATGAAAAGCGTTAAACGTGGTTGCTGTTTGAGCATAAACAGCAACCATGTGTGGTTGCCGTAAAAAGGCAAAGTTGCCGTACTGCATTAAAGCTTTAATCAGGATAAAACTGTATATTAAAGCTAACATAAGCAGTAGCATTTACAAATAACAGCATATCTAAAAGTATGAGACAACAACAAACAAAAAAACATAGGCCTACTATTAAAAGTCGTGCTTGCACAGGTCCTGCACAATCCTCTTCAATAATATCCTCTGCTCCTCAATCGGGCTCAAACTGATAAGCGATATTAACGACGCCGTTGTTTACAATACAACCGGAGCACATGCCGCTGAGGTGAGGGGCGGGACATTAGACACGCACTAGAGGAGGTTTAGCCAATCACAACACACTGGGCTAGCTAACCAATCAGAGCCCATCGCCTATTTCTGAGGGTGGGGCTTCATAAAAGCAGGAAATGATCAGCGCGTTTCTGAGAGAAGGGACAGAGCGGTGAAGAATAATGCGTTTTTTTTTTTTTTAATTAAGCATTAACACATGTTAGACTGCACCCCATAAACACAATCAAGCCTAGAAAAAAACCAGTGAACCACCCCTTTAAATCTCTTTAGGTATTCTTTTGAATTCTTATTATTATTTCTTGCTTCATTTTGTGCTTATATTTGTGCTCTTGCAAATTTGAACAGTATTATATGTTTAAAAGGTGCTATTGTATATAAATACAATGCATTATTTATTTTGCATTATTATCAACATTTAATGACAATAAATGAAATTCTGTCAAAAAACTTTGTATTTATTTTCTGCTATTGCTTGTAATTAGGAAAAGATTCAGAGCACTGAGCCCTGCATGTCTTCATGAGACCCAGACTGCAATGTATAGTAGCAGCCAAAAAAAAAAGTCTCAAAATGAAAATAAGTTTTAACAGCTTTATTTTTGTAATTTCTTTTTATGTTTTTCTAATGCACTTTTCTGCAATAATGAGAATGCCTAACTAGGATTTACACTCAAAATTTTTATTTTACACTGCACATTTTAGCACAGTCTGAAAGACTTTCTTGACTGCTGTCATGATTTTATGTGTGACTTGATTTTTTTCCAATTATTTATTTTTCTTTATTATATAAAAAAAGTGTATTTTTTTGTTTTGAATTTCTCATTTGGAGTACAGGATGTGCAAATTTTAGATAAATTTAGATGTTCATGTTATATATTTTGGTTGCATTTGTGAATAAAAATGTAACTGCTTGTGTAAAATAGGTACATAATATCATAATATCCATATATCCATACTCCTGAAGTTTATTTTCTTTATTGTTTAAAAAAATAAAAATAAAAGTGTAGGCCTATTTTTTTGTTGTGAA